ATAGAATCATTCTATCGATAATTATTTTTTGATTTAGAAAGATTATTTGTTATATTATCAATAAATGATGATAAAAATAATTGTTTATTATTATCGTTGCTATTCATATTTATCGTTTCATTTTGTTCATACCAACTAATTAATGATTTTAACAATGAATTATTATTTAATAATTCATAAGATATTTGTTGTTGACTACTATTATTAATATTATTATTTAGTAATGTTTGTTGCTTTATTCTTAATAATGTTGTTAAATATGTTAAAACTACTTTTTATTTGAGCTTCGACCACATATTCATTGCTTTTTATTTACATGATTTATTTTTAATTTCAATTAAATCTGGTGAATCATATTTGAATATGTCAAATACATCATCAGTATTCATAAATGATTGTATTGAATTAATTGATTGTAACGGGTATCCCATAAAGAATGAGCCTTTTTTGTTTTCGCTATAACTCCGTCAGTTTAGACGCTATCGGCCAAATTTTTGTTTTAAAAGTTTTCGCCATTCAATTCTCTACAAAAATATGTCAAAAACTTTTGTTGTAAAACATAAAAAAGAAAAATTATATAAAGAATACTGAGAAGCTTCAAGATGTCCAACTTTCTAAAGTGGTTTTTCTTGGTTTTCCTGAACAGTTTTGCCTTTTTTTCTATCTCTTTCGCAAATATGATAACACGACAGAATAACTTTTTCCAGTACAACAAAGTTCGTTCTTTCGCTTGATCTACAATGAAGTCTGTTTCAACCAAGTGTTATGAGGCAAACACTACTTTATTAAAACTGAGCCGAAATTACATAAAACTTTGCTTATTTTATGCATTACATCCGAATGAAGGACTATATTCAAACTCTAAAGTTTTAGTCTAATGCACCATTCATTTCTCTTCAAATTAAAAGAAAAGCCAAGCTGAAAAGATTAATTCTTGATCGACTCATGCAAATTTTCTGAGAATCCCAAAATCGCTAATTCAAAAACGTGATTTTTGCAAAGTCTGAAAAAAGAAATAATTCACCTACGCAACAGGTATTGATGCACAAATTTTTCTAACATAGTTGAACGACAGAACTTTTCAAGCGCTACAAAATGGCTACTTGTTTCTTTTGTAGGTTCAAAAATCCAACGAATGGAGCCAAAAAGACTAGTTTTTGTCTAAAAAAGTTGGACACGTTGAAGCTTCTCAGTATTCTTTATATAATTTTTCTTTTTTATGTTTTACAACAAAAGTTTTTGATATATTTTTGTAGAGAATTGAATGGCGAATCTTTTAAAACAAAAACTTGGCCGATAAAAACTGACGGAGTTATAGCGAAAACAAAAAAGTCCCATTCTTTAGGGACACCCGTTATTTTAAGAATATCATATAATGGTTGACCAAGTAATGATTGTACTAGGGGTGGCACTTTACCTTTTCTTTACAGGTAACGCAGTAACGCATGCGTTATTGCGTTACTGGTAACGAGATGCGTTTATTTTTCATAGCTTTTGTAACGAGTAACGCAGCGTTATTTGCGTTACTTTAGCGCTTTTTTGCGTTACTTTTCTAGTAACGCAGTAACGCTTGCGTTATACGTTACTTGTAACGCAGTAATGCATGCGTTACTCGTTACCAGTAACGCATAATATAGTAACGCTTTAGTCGCATTGTGTCCGGAAGGTGATAAAACAATACATTTTCGGTTGTTCGTCACTCATACGGTGATATTTGAAAGCGTTGCTTTACTCAGTAAAGTAACGCACCAGTAAAGAAAATGTACCACCCCTAGATTGTACAAATTTAAAAAAGTTATAGCCTTTTAATGTGGAAACACGATCTGGTAATATCGAGAAATCACACGTGTTGTTGTTCATTTTAAAAACTAATTAAGTCAAGTAACTTACATATAAACGTAAAATCACTCAAAATAATGGCTAAATGAGGAAAGTTCTGGAGATTTTGTATGTAAGGAACAATCAAAGTACATTCATCATCTGTGATCTCTATATCAGAAGAAAAAATAAGAAAATAAATAAGCTTAACAACAACAAGTTCACAACAATCATCAGCAAAAAGATGTAGAAAATAACACTTTTAATCGAACCTTTTTTCTCAATAATTTTAATATCCAAGATTTTTCGTTTTGTTTTATTTTTATATTTAATTAGATTTATTTATACAATTTTGTTTATTTCGATTATATTTATATATTTTCATTTTATTTTATATTCATGAAACTATGCTATATTTTATTGTTTGTTTATTAATTATGATCAAAAATATATTGAGAAAGATAAATTTAAAAGTTTTGCCAAGATTGGAAACAAACGAGTCATAACAAAGGAACTGTGCGGCTTGTCCACGTAACACGACACTTCGCTGATCAAGTATTTTTTGAATTTTTTTCTTTCGAAAATCAATCGGGGCACATTACTAGCCGCAGCTTTTCACGCTGATTACGAATCTGACCTGTTTTTGAAGAAAAAATTAATTTTCAAAAAAAAAATTTTAATTTAAAATTTTGAGAAACTTTAATTTCGATTTTCTGACCTAGACATTTTGCTCAAAAAATTTTGAAAGCATACCGTTGAATAGAGAATTCAGTTCTCCACAAAATGGCTCATTTCGTTTTGAGATCTATTTTTCAGTCAAGACACAGTGGCTGCTTGAAAATTTCAACTTGCGGCTTGGTCTGAAAGCTTCAGCAAAATTTTCAAATTTTATTTTCAACTGGAGTCTTTTCAGGAAACCTAGAACTACACAGTATATAAGTATGACGTTTCTTGAACAACGTTTAGTGTCTAAAAATGGTGCGACAAAAAAGTGTGTCACAGCGTTGCTTTAGTGAATTGGGTTTTACAAACAAAGTAAAGGGTTCTGAAAAAAAGTCTTTTTAGCAAAAGAAAGCTCGTTAGCTCTCCTCTATAAACTTTGCTCAAGACACTTTTTATTAGCTCTTCTGAATTTGCACAAATTTGCACTTTAATGAGGCGTAGTTAGAATTTAGGGTCTTTTTATGTCACAGCGTTACCGATATAAAAAGGTTTTCTGGAAGCTCGAGTCTTTAACCAAAAATTTTCGTTTTTATACTCAAAGTAGAGTAAAAAGAGTCGCGTCGAATGGCGCAAAAACGAACTTTCTAGCTCTTATAGTTTTCGAGAAAAATACAAATTACTGTGTCAAAAATGTCACAGTGTTACCTTTGGACAAGCCGTATGGAAAAAATCAAAAATGAAAAGTTCTTCAGACATCCTTGTTTCCTACTCATGTTGATATTAAATTAGATAAATCTAAAGATTGGTTGCATTCACATGTTTTACCATTAGATTGTTTTGATGTAATATTAGGGAAGCCACCGTTAGTCAAAAACAATCGGTTAATCGATTAGATAACAGATACATTGACACTACATCAAGATGAGCAAATATATACATTAAAATCAACAATAAAATAGAAGATAGTAAATGTTTGTTAATAACAGCAAATAAACTAAAACATGGATTTAGAAAAAATCAATTTAATACATGTTATACTGCATTTTCACGAGATTTAAGTGAAAATGAACAATACAATAAACCAAAATGAGTAGATAATTTTCTGAACAGATATTCTGATGCATTTAAATCCAAGTAACCTAGTGGACTACCAAGTGATCGAGGTATTAAACATTTAATTGATATGGATACAGCATTTGAAAACACTGGGATCGAACCATCCATCTGTGGCTACGACATACCACAATTTTAGAAATGTTTACAGAAGCATCGATGATTACTCAAAGGTCTTGAGTTATTATGAAAAGACACTGGAACTGAAGTTGAAAACACTGGGATCGAACCTTATTAGACCAAGTCATTCACCATAGACACGTCCAGTATTATTTGTTAGAAAAAAAGATAATACATTAAGAATGTGTATGCATTAAGTCGCGTTACAGTCAAAAATGCTTATAGTTTACCACGTGTTGATGATTGTTTTGATTGACTAATGGTGCAGAGCATTTTATAAAGTTAGATTTTGTTAGTGGTTATTGGCAAATAAGGATTTTGAATGATGATGTACCATAAACATCATTCGACAAGCAAGGTACGAGAGTTATGAATGTTTAGTGATACCGTTTTGTTTATGTAATGCACCAAGTACATTTCAATCATTAATGAATTCTATTTGGGGTGATTATTTGGATAAATTTGTATTAGTGCATTTTGTCACATTATGACATAAATACGCGCTCTAGAAGTGAAATATCATTGTTTCCAAGTGTATGGTATAAGTGTAGACCAGGCTAAAGCTAAATAATAAACAAAATATGTCTATCTAATATCTATCTATTAATTGATTCGTTTGGTATAATTGACTTTGACTAGCTTACGGTGAGCGTTTACAGTTATTCACATTAGGAAACGATGCTGATCGAAAAGAACTTTGAAAAAAATTTAATAAGCATACACGTCAATCATAAAAACAAGAAAATTAAATAGACATAGTGTCGCTGATGAGGACGGCAATCTTTTTAACCAAGGGAGGACATTATAAATTCGATTTCGCTTTATACACGCTTCTGTTAATTCGTAAAATTCCCCAACAACGAAAACGAAAAAAAGAGAGAAAAATTAAAAATGAGATAAATCTTGATCTAGATAGAATTAAATACACACACATGATTCTCTTATATGAAATATATTCTTTGTAAAATATAGAGTAAATGTACTTTTGATCACCAAATTTTTCAGCATAATCTCACATTTTTATTTCTCAACAATGTATAATGTACAACACAAACATATTCACTGAAATATTAACCAAATGAACAATACTTTTACAGTTTTATTCATGTCTATTTACAAATTTAAAGCTGTGCTAACTTTCTTGGGAGGCCCATTTGCTTTTCCTTTGCCTAATGGTTGAATACACCAGAAAATCATTGAATGTATCACTGGCTAGATATTTATCGTTCTCATCGGTGGCTTACACTCAATGATTTTCTGATGTGGTAACAATCCTATTAGCTTGTTGTACCATTAGAATCATGTAGCTGTCCGATTGGCATGAAAGTATATTCGTATAAACATTCTGTTGGATTAGCAATTTTATTTAACTTATATCAAGTTAGCGATGAAACACGTATTCAACCAGTAGGTAAACGAAAAGCAAAAGGGCCTCCCAAGAAAGTTAGCACAGCTTGAAGTTTGTAAATAGATATAAATAAAACTGTGAAAATATTGTTCATTTGGTTAATATTTCAGTGAATATGTATCCTGTTGAAAAATTTGGTGATCAAAAGTATCTTTTCTTGGTGATAAAAAAAATTGATATCCTAAAATATATTCAATACACAAATTCATTCACAACAGATTAAAATTACAGTACGATAAGAACTATTCAGAGAAAGTCATAACGATTTTGTAGCATTTATACAGTGGATTGACATACATGTATTCAGTA